TTATGTATATTTATCTAACGTTGGCGATACGTAACTAAACTAAAAACTCACATTAAAATAAAACCAAAATAAAACTAATTAACTAAAATCTTAACATAACTTAAACCAAAAAACGAAAAGTGGCTAGGGGTATCTGAGGTGAGCAACCAAACTGGCTTTTACCACAATCAGTTATATAATGAATTTTGCGTAGGTTGCGAAATGAATTTTGGAATTCCTTTGACCCCCGCTTTACGATCAAGAACAGTGGCACGTAACGCAATGTAAGCGACCGAAGTAATGCTTAATGCAGCTGACATTATCTGGCGGGGTGGCGCTAGCGTGACTTGATTCGTTTGCGCATACTATTTCACCAAGACCCGAGATAGCGTTAATGCCTTCCAGGGAGAGTTTGGAGCTTTACTTAGGGCGCGGCGAGTCAAAGTATTCTGCGAGACACTAGTATAGGCTAACGAGCCGTGTTCTAATATCAAACATGAGCTTGCGTGCATGCATATGCAGGTGTTTCAAATGATAAGCGAAGTAACCGAATTGGCGATGTAAAGGGACCGATCACTGCCACCGTAAAGGAGAAGGGAAGGTATTAAGGGCAATCTTAACCGAGTCAGCTGGCTGAAGAAAAAAACATAATCAGTTACTGTCCCACTGTAACGAATAGTGTTCTTATATCAAATGCGGAATTGCACGCATCCATATGAAAGTGATTCAGATGGTAAGAGTGTGGGGGCCTAAAAGTATCTTTACTCAGGCCAAATCCCCAGTCGTACGTAAAAAAGTAGAAGGCAGGTGTGGGAGGAGGGTAATGTGCCCAGAATTCCCATTTGCTGCCGCAAGTAATAGTGACCACTGACAAAGTCAAGGCTACCGGTTTTTCCTCCAAAACCGGATCTGTTGAAATCAAAACCGAATTATTACTTATTATATATAAGAACTATTTCCTCTACTTATTTAACCTTGTAGGGAAAAAATATTGAATAAATATGTCGAATATATAGCGTATAATATTTAACCAAATTAGTCACGATGGACATCAGATAGTGAGAAACATTGTCCAAAGAATGCCTCCGAATATTGAAAATAACTTTTCACTATCTGATGGCCACCGAGACTAATTTGATTAAATATTATACGCTGTATATTCGAGTGGAAGTCGGTCAGCGATTCTGTAAGTGTGAATGACCTTGAGGGAGCTGACCTTGAATAAGCACGCCAGAGACAGCAATGTGGGGCGTCGGCTACAGGAGAAATAAACGAACTGACGATGTAAACGGACTGATTACTGTTACCGGAAAGGAGGAGAGAAGTTATTTATAGTAATCTTAACTGATTAAACCTTTCTTAAGGGCGTAACTTTATAGGTTCAGTTGCTGTCTCGCTGTACAGGCAAGACTTTTAGCACTGCATAGATCCTCCAGCATAAGGAGGTCTTTGTCAAATAATGACGAAAACCAGAATGACCGTACCTGACTTGTTCCAACTGCCCCTAAGTTCAGCTTCCGTTCGAGACGTTTATATTCGAATCAGTAGCTGAAGCGAATCGATCATGGTTTGCAGAAAATTCTGGAGTTGAAATCTATCATCCTACAAGTTGACTAGAATGACAAAGAACCTAATGCAGGTGTATGCTGTCATTTGCAGTCGGCTTAAAGGAAATAAGCGCTTAAGATTTATTAAATCGGCCTTTAACCTCGTTTGAGGATGCAATCACTGTAAGGAGAATTATGGGGTCTGTAGAACGCCCACTTCGGTCAGTAGAAAAAAATTCAAATTTTACTACCTCAATTACTCACCCTTGGTTAAACATCATAGCCCTAACCCAAGAGGAAGTCAATGGAAGCTGCAGTACAATCCAGAGAATCGTGTATCAGGGCCTCTTAGTCTGAAGTACTTAAGTATTTTTTCCGAGTACGAATATTTTATACGTATATTTATTTCCATGAGTTTCAAAAGATTCTTAATGTGCATGAATTTTTATATCTTAACACGCGCAGGTTGCTGAGAAGGTGAACAAATTATCCTCGGACCCCATCGTGCCACGCGAACGATGGGTAAGCACATGAGTTCTTTACCTATCCCCTTTATTATAACGTAAACAGTTTACTAATAGGCAATAAATTAAAAACCGCATTTTCTCAGACACAACTGATTTGTTTACACCTAGAAAGAGCGCGAACCGCGCAAAACTTCGGAGGCCAAAACGAATATTCTTCTCGGGGAGACCGCCTACATGCTTCAGGATATCCTGGAGTCCAGTGGCGGACTAATCCCGGAAGACAGGAAACAGAGCACTAACGTATTGGTGCGAAAGATCAAAATACCACGAATGAGTTTTGCGGAGAGTCGACTAAGGGCTGCGGAAGTGGCGGCCACCGAGGGAGTTGTTGTGAGTGACAGTTCTGCCAGTTTCCACTACTCTCCTTCATTACTTTTTTCATTAATATCAGGCAGGCTCAAGAAGAAGCTTCTTGTAGCATAACACGCCATCCTCTCTTTGGTATCAATCTGCACATAAAAACTGCTATCCACAGCCTAAAGGAGAGTAGACTGGTGGCAACACAACTGAAATACGCATGTCAGTAAAGTAACGGGAGATCATAGCTTAACACAAGGCAGTTAGGACCGGAATTTATGCCTGTGATGGCATAATTATTTTAATATAATTATTCCAGTGTTGAGTAAAGTTTGGCCGGCGATTCAAAGTGCGAAATAACGTCTGTTGCTTACTCCAACAGCTGCCATACCATGTGCTTGTCTCAGCTTGATAAGATGCATAGGTGAAACAGCAATCGATGTTTAGGTCAAGCCTGTGCCACTCTTAGACGTATTAGAACAGATAGTAAAATCCTGCTGGATTTGAATATGTTCGTCGGGATAGTAGATTATATGTCATGAAAGTGAGACGCCGGTTACAGAGGCCACGCGCTTTTAATATCAAGTGATGTCAGCGATTACAGCGAATTTGCCCTTTCGATGCCGATGTATCGCATCACAGGCATCATGTGAAGTTTTGTGGGAAACTTCCGTTTTTTTCTAGATAATTGAACAAATCTATTCCTGAAGCCGAGCATGTACTGGAATGTTGAAGTGTGTGTGTCACTTGTGTTCCCTCTGGCGCCTTTAAATTTTTCTAGACACGTTAGTACTGTAAGAATTGGTATGTTAGACATCCAGTTTAGACGTCTTATTGGAACTATCTATCTGTCTTGCTGTCCTGTGTATCGTCAAACACAGTCATTGAGAAAATATTTTTTTAAATACCAGTTTATTTCACTTCGATAGCTTCTTTTGCCAGAATGGTTTGTATACGACTTACAGGATACACCATATCAACCTCCCGTCTACGCTTTAACGAATTCAAATACGCCGATTTACTTCAGGTTCACAATTAACTTCAAGGTAAATTAAAGGGCAAACATTTTCAAATTGGAAGTTCTACCAGAAAGCACGTACATAATGCTGGGGATCCCCCCCCGAAGAGTCTAGCACCTTGCATTTGTGACAGGCAGCAGCAGCATATCGGCGAAACACGTGTCTGGGCTTTAAGCTAATACCGGTGCTGCCAGTATTGCATATGCTATAGGACCAATATATGGTACTTACTGCTTGTTGTCGATTTAATAAATAAATATTACGTGTTTCATTCACTGCAGCTAATAGCAGTTGGCCTATATATTCATATCAACTTTCCATCTACGTCTTTAAACCTTCAAAAAGACTGATATATTCAGAGTTATCTATGTATAGCTGAGAAAAGTAAAAACAACCGAATGGTTGATATCTTTTCGATTAAGTAAGCTGGTTATAATACGTCATTTTCTGAGGGATAGGGTGGTCATTCTCTTAGCGTAAAGTGACTGCCGTATAAATGATGCAAGTACTGTTCCGTCGGTCCCTCGAGCTATGAGAAAATTTATGATTGAAAGTTTATCATAAATTTAGTTCTCGAGTGTCGATTGAACTCTTGATTTTTAAGCGGAGGGGTTTATGCTGTATTTCTAACGAAAAAATATATGTCATCTACATATCGCAGGCACAGGTTAGGGTTAAGAACCAGAAGAGCCGCCGATTCTAGCCTATATGTTCTGAGCTCGTGAGAAATCCGATGACGGATGATCATATATGAGCTGCTTTCAATTGTTCGTAGGAATGTTGGTCGAATGAAAAGTTACTTTCTGGAAATAGTTGAAAGAGTAAGTTTAAAAGGTGATATACATTTGCCCGTTTGTTCTACGGTTGATGATGACATGTTTAATTGGCGCCAACTATTCCTGCAATATATTCTGCTGATATTCCCTAAGAACATTTACGACCTCGAGTAACATTTTTTGACGTGGCCGATAGCAGCAAACAGGCGAGTTCCAGGCGGCAGTTAAAAGGAAGAAGACTGGATCGTTGGAACAAACCATTTATTAGTCTGACTTTTGGTATTCGCACTCGAAGACTTTATCATCGACAATCGCAGAAGCCGCAAGCCAATTAACTTCGTGTTCCAGTGATCAACTATTCTTCTTTTGCATTTCTCCGCGCATCTAACTTCTAATGCATATAAACACTTTTAATTTAGTCTGACGACGAACACGTGATACTTGTTCGAAAATTCACGAGTACAACTCGATTTTCCGAAGATCTTCTTTTTTTTCAGCATATAAACATATGCAAAAGGACATTACCGACAAAAACATCGAACACTAGGAAGGCCTTTTCGGGCTTATTTGCAGTCGTCAGCTAGTGATACCCAACCCCAGTGTTGCCGCTGAAGTTGTTACCACACTCGAGTTTTGAACTTGTGGTCTCTCCAGTCAGGGCGCACGTCCTAACCATTGAGCTACGAACTCACCGTCTTGCTGGTATTAGATCGGGGATACACAGTAGCAGATACGCGTAAACCGATCTGTTAGAGGATACACTCGTCCGTCCATGTTGCCATAACAGTTCTCATTCGAACCTCCACCGCGAGGCGCCTACTGTATATCCCCGACCAAATACCGGCAAGACCGTGTCAGAAGTGTCTGGGCCCGGCAGTAGAGACAAGCGTCCACAAAGCAGCCTTTATATGATTCAGCCTTGAAGGTTATTGGTCAGGCGAATTGGAGCAGCCTACTTGTGCGCGCCGGTTAGTGGTCACCACGCTAGGCCTCCGTTCAGACGGATTTTGTGGCACCTGTGACTGGCTGTACAGAGGTGAACCGAGACTGCAATCGCGCAAGTCTCCGCGTGGAACGGGGTCACTGCAGACCGATGGAGCCAATGCAACAAGAGGTGCAAATATACGACATCCGCTTATCGACACAAACGCTGAACAATGACTGGCTCCTGCATCCACTTGCAAATGAAACTGTCTAGCGTGTTTACTGAAGTCTGACCACGAACTGGGTAACCAGCGTCAAGCTTTTACTCAAAGGAGTTGGTTACATTTCACGAAACATATTGAATATTTGATATCGACTGATGTCTCACAGGATGCCTACGTCAGGTAGTACGATGACGTTTCCGATTATTAAGCACCCCATGGTTGATGTCGGTCCCCGGAAGGCTGTGGGAGTGCTTGCAAGAAGTATCAATGTTTTTTTTTACTGAACTCGGGTGTGTTTTAGACTACCGGTGGCAATCCGCTGAAGTTTGGGAAGAGAAGCTCGATGTAACGGGGTTTCACCATTTTTATGGCATTTTCCGGAACCTTCAAGTTAAACCTTTGTATTCCATATACCGATGATAACGAATGTAGCATCAAGTTATAAATGGACATAAAATGTCGTATTACCCTAAATTCTGTTCTCCTGGATATCCACCTCACTGTGCAGGTGCGAAAAACAACCAACATCGTTTCTATTTTTTCTTTCATAAAAAAACTAACGGGTACATGCATAGGAAGGCCTGATACATGCTAAGCCGAAAATAATACCCTGTGAGATTGCAAAGCGGGAGGTTTAAATGAAGAATTATATATATGAATCCTGTTACAGTTCTCAAATCTGTCGAATGAAAGTTAGCAGAGCACAACCGGAGTCAGAGTAGGGGATTGCTTGAGTTCATTCCATGGCAGATTATATCTAGTCTTAGGGATTTCGCATTTCGTACCGTCACAAAAGCCGAAGTAATTACACTACCTCGAAATTTCTGAATTAACAACAGCACCCTTAACCGCCGTTTTCTGAAGTTTAAAGTAAATTTTTATAATTCCAAAAAGAGCCGAGACATGTATTCTAAGGCTTTTCATTGTTCAATCATTAAAGGGAGTTCAAGAGCTGTTCGATACGGCGGAAAACTTCGTCAAACACACGGACTTCCTCCAGCAATGGCCGCAAGATATGCGACAGTGTTTTGCCGTGCCGGACAGTTTTGAAAACATACCGCACTTAGAGGAATACAGCTACAATCCGGATGAAAAGAAGAAGGAAGAAGGATAGCAAATGAGATTAGAAGAAATGACGCTTAAAGAGGCTGTTAATCAAGGAGAGCTCTATGTACTCATTTATACCAAAATTTGAAAAAACATATACGAGGGGCAAGATACCCACCACAGGACCTTAAATAAATCTTGTGAGAAAACTCATTCTTTTTACTTTCTTCTACAAAATCGGTAGCATAAAAGCAGAATCAATAAGGTCGTAAGATTGTATCGTGATGTCATATAACTCAACACCGCATGGCTACTGCACTGGTTTATTTGAAACTGAGAAGTTCAGGTAAATGCAAAGTACGGCCGTCTAACTGAGGCGTTTGCCGCAGCTGGCATATCACATGAAATTTTCCCCAAAATCCTGAATTGAATTTTCAAATAAAAAAGATTCTGCAGGTGGGGCAGTAACATCCATTATCCTTAAAAAACAAGCCCACAATGCATTTGCCTTACGAGAATGCTACCTCTACAGTGCGACAATCGCACTTGTAAAAATGATTTTTAAATGTTATGCATTCTTTTCAAAGGAATTCGATTACCTTAAAGAAGACGAAGACGCGATCTCTGGAACGATAGTTTTATTCTGAGCTTTCTCCCAGGAATGGATACCCCAACAGCTTCATCCACCGATGCCTCCGAAAGCACCCACGGGGAACAAACGAAAGGGGACCACCAACGCTCTGGCACGCTCTACCGCACATTAAAAACGCGTCAGAAGCAACCGAACGTATCGCTGCAGAACTCGGCGTGGGTATTGCTCATCGCCAGACAGCTACAATGCGTGCACGAGTGATGAAAATCAAAGACCCGTTGGACGTAGGTGAGCAGTCTGGCGTCATTTATCAGGTGCCATGTCGCGACTGTTCTT